AATAGCAAATGAACATTTAAATATATTTAAATATAAAAGTGATTAAAAATGCAAGTAAAATAATTAAAAAGTAAAAATTTAAATAAATACAATTTTACATATAACAAGAAAGCTATATAATATACAATATAATGGGTAAGTGACATTGAGTGCAAACCAGGCAGAGTAGTGCAAATAGGCAAATAGTGCAAATGGAGATTTGGTAATGTACGGTAAGAGAAAGTGTAACAACAAAGTCTTATGAGGTAATGGCAGTCCAATGCTCCACAAAGTGACTGGTAACTGGTGCAGGCCAGTGAGTGAGTCAGAGAGTGTGTGTGTTTGTGTGTGTGTGACAGAGTTCAGTGAGACCGTGGAGGAGAGAGGGGAGAGGGGGCAGAATCGGGAGGGAGTTAAGCTTCCTGACAGCCTGATGGATGAAGCTGTCCTTCAGTCTGCTGGTCCTGGCCTGGAGACTCCGCAGTCTCCTCCCTGACGGCAGCAGCTTGAAGAAGCTTTGCATTGGGTGCGTGGGATCAGCCGCTATGCAAAGGGCTTTTTTAGTGAGACGGGTGCTGTAAATGTCCTGGAGGGAGGGGAGAGAGACACCAATGATCCTCTCTGCAGCTCTCACTATGCGTTGGAGGGTTCTATGACAGGACGCATTGCAGGCTCCAAACCACACAGTGATGCAGCTCGACAGGATGCTCTCGATGGTGCCTCTGTAGAAAGTGTGCATGATGGGGGCTGGTGCTCCTGCTCTTCTTAGTTTGCGGAGAAAGAAGAGACGCTGCTGTGATTTCTTGGCCAGTGCTGTGGTGTTGTACGTCCAGGAGAGATCCTCTGTGATGTGCACACCCAAGAACTTGGTGCTGCTCACTCTCTCCACAGACGCTCCGTCAATGGTCAGAGGAGCATGTTGGGTGTGCATTCTCCTGAAGTCCACAACAATCTCCTTCGTCTTCTCCACATTCAGAGAGAGATTGTTGTTGAGTGATTTCTTAACTTTCTAAAAATAAAAATGTCATTCTCAGGGAGAAAAATCATTAAATTAGAAAAATAAATAATACTTACAAAAAAAAGAAAAACGGCACATCATCAACAACATCAAGAATACTCCGGGCTCATCATCCACAGCTGATATTCATCTAATTTGTCCTGATGAGATCGTTCTCATTCCCAACGTGTAGCATACCGACAATTTGTCCCGAGGTGTCCCATAGGAGCGTTCCCGTGATACGTGTCGGATTGTGGATCCAATCCAACAGAATGAAGCTCCCGGTGGTAACACACGTTCCAGCCGTGTATTCCAGCCCTAAACCTAACCACAACCTTAATCTTGTTAGATGGTGTTTTCTAAAGTGATTCATGATGAGAAAGTAAAAAAAAGTGTACATGTGTAGATTCATTCCAAACAGTTCTCATGTTTCCGAAAGCGTAACATATTGTTGTATGTTAGGTTTTGGGATGAGAACGTGTTGTTCTGATGCTCAACATTTCACAGCATTGAATCTTATCATGAAAACTTTAATGATTCTTTCTTTCTTTTATGTAATTTCTTAGGTACTAAGTTAACAGCTGATGGGGTGGCGCCTGCAGCCAGAGAGGGCATCACGTCGACTCCCATCAGCCGGCGCACAAAGCGGCGCTGGCGTGAAAGCTTGGAGTCCGAGAATAGGTCATCGTCTGAGCAGCTGGCACAGAAAACATCCGACCTGACAGCAGGGACGCAGAAGACCGTGTCCGTCTACACTCTGGACTCTCCCGATCGTGAGCCGGGGGGTTCCGAGCAGCTTGACGACGAGGTCGAGATGGAACCTGGCGAATCTGCTGGGTCGTACTCGTCACAGATGGACCCCGACATTCATCTGGTTCAGGAGTGCTCGCTGGTTCCTTCGAACGCCAACAGGTCGGTTTATTTTAGCAGCGGCGCTCTGATCGAGTCTCCGTCAAACCAAGCAGACCTCGATCTGACTGTCGACCCAGGGTGGCCCAAACAGTCAAAGGGTCAAATTACTTTTACTGCGTTTCACCAAGACGGAAACACGGATGGCGACGCCTTTGGACTGAAGGTGCTCAGCGTCTCCGGCTCGACCCCCACAGACTGCCAGCTGTCCGAAGCCAGCAGCTCTGCCTTCGAGTACGAAGACGGCGGTGATGTCATGAACTTTGCCCTATATAGGGACCAGGCAGGGCGGCCGCAGCTCTGCAATGGGCAGCCGAGCGCAGGAGGCAGAGGGAAGCGTTTCGCGTGCTCCCTCTGCAACAAGACGTACGCCACGTCGCAGAACCTGGAGGTCCACATGCGCATCCACACGGGCGAGAGGCCGTTCAGCTGTGAGCAGTGCGGCAAGAAGTTCACCCAGTCGGCTCACCTGAAGTCGCACCTGAGCGTTCACACGGGCGAGCGGCCGTACGCGTGCAGGCTCTGCTCCCGGAGCTTCATCGTCAAATATAGCCTCAAGTTGCACATGAAGAAGTGTCACCCAAACGTCCCGAGCGACCCCTAAATGCTGGTTTTTACGAACATTTAAAAAACATTTATTTTGTGCTCGAGCTGCATCCATCAGCTAATATGACTATTTTTATAACTTAAATTATTACTTAAATTTATCATCTTTTATTCTTTCACTCTAACATCTCAAAACATAAGAGATCAAATCTGTCCATAGTTTATCTAACATGCTTCACGTGTCTGTGTCACTCTGTGATTGGCCCACATGTCGTTCAGCTACTGAATCTGATGCATCTTATCTCTAAAAACTGCCTGTAAAAACCAGTTAAGATATTTTATTTATATCAGCCCTGTTGTCTTTATTTCGGGTGACGTCTCTTGTGCATAAGAAAAAGCCTGGCAGTCGCTACAGACATGAATTGGCCGTGATGGTACTGGGACTGTATATAAAAGATGGACCATGGACACTGTGCCATCACTACAGGCTCCGCTTTTTGAAACTAGAAGTGACCATATTTAGATTATAGGGTAGCGTGCAAAGTTATCAGCTAATGCAGAAGTGCCTTAACCTGCATTTTTAAGATGCCACCAGGGGGCGGTAGCTGCCTGGTCCTGTAGAAGTCTGTGTGGAAACTGCCCTGTGACCTGACCTCTGTAAAGACATCCCTAATGACTTATAGGCCCAGTCGCTCATTTTCAATGAACCCTAGTTAGTTTTCTAAATTTGGATCATTCTAAAAATTATCCAGGACATGAGTCTGCTAGACGACTCTATGAACAGGTGAAGTCACGTCAGCTACATCCATCTTGCAACACTGTCCTCGTCCTTAACTTAAAGCCTTAACAGATTTGAAATATTTCACCCCCCCATGCTGCTCTTAGTCTTCAAACTGTCAAAAGAGACTAGAACCATATTTGTAGCAGTTACCATAGCAGCCTGTAAACATCAAAACATGTTTACAGCTGCTACGGTAACTGCAGCCTGATGTCCACCTGAAGTAGCCTCCGGTGGACATCAGAGGAACTGCAATTTTTCCTTGTACTCTGAAATTTACTCCGAAATACTTTTTTTTTTTTTTTTTTAACCCTAAAAGCTGCTTAAATTGTTACCACATCACTATGTTCAGCTCCTTTTACCTTAAATACTGACAATTTGAGTTATTTTAACAGACATGAACAGGACACGTGTGCGACACAGAAAGAAACCTTTCTAACAAGAATCATAAGACACGTTACATGTGCTCATCCATAAGCCAGGTTTGTATTGATTAATGTGTTTACATGAATCAATAGTATTACCAAGCAAATCTGTTGACATGTAGCTACATCTGCACGTGCAGCAACACCCAAACAGATAAAAAACGTCTCATTCTGAATAATTTAAACACTTATGATGTTTAGGGTTTCTAAGTTCATAATTTTCTGTTTTCTTGTTAACATTTCTGCGTTTGTTGGACAAAAGAAAAAGGTTCCAGGAAGCTGTTACACACATTTTTAGGCTTTTTAGCTAAAATGAGAGCATCATGTTCATCAGTTAAAAGCTGTGCTGTTACAAAGTCTACTGCACATATTGGAAGTTGTTTCACAGAAAGTATTGTTGATACGGTTTATGTTGAATGACAGTTTGTCTAATGTTTGGGTAATAAAATGGTTAAAAAGTGTTTTGCATCTTATTTCATGTGTAAATAATAATTCGTTTGTTCAATGTAGATCAGGATTTGCAGAAACTATCAAAAGCCTTCACAACCAGGTGCAATGTTTGTGTGGTTTTTCCAGACTGTCATTGTAAATAAGAATATGATTTCATTACCTGGTTAAATAAAAGTTCACTGGCTTCAAGCACAATGTTGAGGTACAAAGTGATGCCACATGAAAGTACAGTTCAGTTTGAGTCGATATCTCTGCAACACAATACACAACGTGTCATTTCTTCAAAGTCTGACTTAATTTTCTCACATTAAAACTAATTTTTAAACAAAGTATATTTAGGTTTTTAAATCCAGAGAACTTCTCAGTACTAACCATTTCTGGCTTGAGAACCTCGTTATCGCTTGTTTTGTTTTTTCCTTCTTCTTTGGAAAAACAATTTGTAGGACTAAATATTGGCAATATTTATGGCTTTATCAGTGAGCAGGAAATTAGACTACTGGTTGATTTGGTTTGATTTTGTGATTTTATACGGAAAAGCTTGTTTTTAAAATCACATTTTCACACATGTATTTGTTTAATATAGCTTTTACTCTTAAATAATTACTATATTCATTTGGATTTGATGGTTAGACACGCTTATTAAAATGGGGACGGGGGTACCGGAGCAAAAAGGCTCTGGTAGAAAAACATCATATATTTCTTTTTTTTTCTTCTTTTTATAACGAACAAGAGACTCACAAAAACAACAAATAAAATAAATGTTAAAATGAAATATAAACGTGAGTTGATACAGGTTTCATCTCCCTAAGAAGGACAATCAAACGAGGAGTTATTGGGACGTTTTCATACCTGAAATTTGCTTGAAACAGTAAAAGGATACTCTGCACATGCGCACTGTGGATTAATTCCAGCCCCCGCCATCACTTCCTGGTCTGTATCGGAGAGCGCACATCAGGTGAGCGGCTACATTCAGGTAAGCTAACGGTGGAGTCTAAGGTCCTGCCTCGAGCCCGCGGTGTGGATTGTTCTGCTTCAGATACACGCACGCGCTGGATTGGACAATGTCCCCCGCGGCCACCTTCCACGCGCAGCTCGCCTCCATCATGGAGGTGCTGGCCAATACGGCCGTGGCGGAGATCTGCGAGCTCGTGGACAGCGGCTACTCGGTGTTGCAGCTGGAGATCTCGCGGAGTCGCAAAGAAAATGAGGTGCTGCGGAGGAAACTGCGCCTCATGGAGCTGCGGGCCGCCCGAGCGACCGCACTGCGAGCCGCGGTTACCGCCAGCGGCAGCGCGGTGCTCCACGCGAGCGGCCGCGCACGAGCCGAACTGAAGAGGAACGCAACCGCGACAGGTAACCGACCGTTAACTTCTAAATTCACAGCAACTACACTGTAAAAACGAAAGGAAAACTTTTTGACCAGAGTGCAGCATGAACTCGATTAATTGATGCGGTCAGTTTGGTAACAGTTGTTAATCATTTCCAGCTGCTTTGTTGTTTATTTCATTGACACCAGAGTACAAAAAGAAATGTTTTATGTTTATTAATTTTTCTGACTCTTTCCATTAGTTTTAGAGGTCAGTAGCACTTCTGATAGTATGAGGCGATTCCCGTGCCCTACCTGCAGAGTTTGCACAGGAAGTAAAACACCTCCAGACTGGCACATTAATACGTGCCATTGCCAGCAGTTTTGGTGTGTCTCCCAGCCCTGTCTCAAGAGCATGAAGGAGACTCTAGGAGAGCTGGACAGGGCAGTAGGAACCTTAAACCATCAGCAGAACCAGTATCTTCTCCTTTGTGTAAGGAGGAACAGAATGAGAACTGCCAGCAGGCCACTAGTGTGAATGTCTCTTACCAAGCAATCCGAAGCAGACCTTACGTGGGTAGCTTGAGGGCCTGAGTTCCTCTTCTGTGTTTATTGCCCAGCACTGTGAAGCTTGATTGGCATCAGCCATAGAATACCGGTACCTGATTTGGCAGATCCCCCGCTGGCGCCCTGTGCTTTCCACAAACGAGGGCAGGCTCACCCTGAGCACACGTGATAGACATGAAAAGGTGTGGAGACATCATGCCAAAATTTGGTGGTAGGTCAGTGATGGGAGGCATTGAGGGATGCACAGATGTCTACTGGCTAGCCAACGGCACCCTGACTGCTGCTAGGTAACGGGATGCAGTCCTTGGACCCGCTGTCACAACCTGTACTGAAGTAGCGGGTCCTGGGTTCCTCCTGGTGCACGACAATCCCCCGCCTCATGTGATGAGTATGCAGGCGCTTCCTGGAAGATGAAGGAATTGATATCATTGACTGGTCCCACGCTCGCTGGACCCAAAACCCAGTCGAACACATCTGGCGCATTGTTTTAATCCATCCAACACCTCAGACTGTCCAGGGTTTTTAAAGAACTGATGTAGATCAATTTGCAGAAGAAAAAGGACATAAAGGACAATAAAATCGCAGCAATGCACAGAAAAAAAATAACATTTACAGCTGTACATGATTCAGAACTTTAAACGCCGTCCTCACTCCCCTCCTGCAGGTGAGGTAGTCTTGTCCAGAGTGTCCAATCAGGCGATGCCTCAGTGCAGAGACCACAACTCACCTGCAGAGCCGAGACAGGAAACCACACAGAGTACGGTGAGTAGAAAAGGTGGGAGGAGCATTAGCGGGATTTCCTCCCTCACTCTTCATTTTTTAACCTCTCTCCTCCAATTCCAGCAGCCTGCAGATGCTACCACAGCTGCTGTGATCAAAGTGGAGGACGATGACTGCGTATCCTGGTCCCAGTCTGAGCCGGACAGTAAGTATAAGAACCTGAAGAGAGCCTTTTTCTTCCTGTTTGACTCAGTGTAGTCTTTTTAGTTTGTAGCTGGCTCATACAGGACAGATCTAAACCCTATGGTGTCCAGTTTAAGCTGTGTAAGAGGCTAAAACTCTTTCTGCTTTCCTTTTATCTCCAGAAGGCTTCTGTCATAATGAAGAGGGACAGGTGGAGGCAGAAGCTGCAATCAAACAGGAAGCAGCAAACGATGGTGGCATCTCGTGGACGAGCGGGGAAGTCAGCTCTACCTCCACCTCTGTCCAGAACACCCAGAGGTCAGAAACCAGCAGTTACGACTGTTTGATATTTGAGCCACAGCTTCAGCATGGCTCCCACACCACCCAAAATCCTCTGGGAGCGGAGGCCGGCTGCTCATCGGCGTCCAATTCAGGTGGCAGCTTCACATTCCCGCACAGCAAGGTGAGTCTGTCTGCAGCAGAGCGACCTGCAGGTTTCCAGAGCAGCCAGCAGAGGGCGGTGCCTGCAGACGAGCTTCCTGTTAGGAAGGAGACGCCAGGAGAACATCGCTCCTTCATCCGGAGGGGCGGGTGGAGACAGGATGCCATCAGCAGAGCGGCAAGCCACAGAGGCGAGGATGGCGGGGGAAAGTCGTTCGTCTGTAACTGCTGCGGGAAAAAGCTCGCCTGCCTCAAGAACCTCAAAACCCACATGAGGGTCCACACCGGCGAGAAACCGTTCGTCTGTGCGCTCTGCGGTAAACGCTTCTCAGACTCCAGCAACCTCAAACGCCACCAGAGCGTCCACACGGGCGAGAAACGCTACGGCTGCGTCCACTGCGGCAAACGTTTTGCCCAGTCGGGATCGCTGAAGGTCCACATGACCGTCCACACAGACTGCAAACAGTTCAGGTGTTCGTACTGCAACAAGACATTCATATCAGGCAGCCACCTGCGGCGCCACATCACTCTCCATGCAGGAGAGAAACGGTTTGGCGCCGTGCAGTGACCACTGGGAGAAGCGGCATTGCAGATATCTGCAGTGAGGTAGTCTCACAAACACGTGACCTACTGTAAAAATGTGTATCGTGTATGTTTGAACACAAAACAGATGTTCTTGGATCACCTGCAAACGTTTTCACGTGTTTCATTGGAACATATGGCAGCAGACAGTGTGGCCGCCGGGGATCGGCTCGATTTCAAGCCACTGCTTCCAGTTTTAATCAGACTTCGGAGTCGCTCTTAGTCTGGTCTTCTTCCCAGGTGAGGAGACACCTGGACAGATTAGGTCTTAATATTAATAATAACTTTATATAGCACTCTTCACCAGGTAAGAACTATGTACATAAAACAACACAATCGATCATACAGCACAAATCTAGTTAAAAGCCAGTCTAAATAAATGAGTCTTTAGCTGCTGTTTAAAAGAATAAATACAATCAAGGCAACGTAAAGATGGAGGCAAAGCGCTCCACATCCTGGGGGCCACCGCTCTGAGATCTGACTCCCGTGGTCTTTAAATGTGTTGGTGGGACTACCAACATCCTTTGATTAGATGATCTCAGGCTGCGAGAGGGAGCGTGGTGTTCTAAAAGACCGGAGATGTCGGCAGCAGCGTCACGACGTTAGAAGTCAGCACTACGAGTTTGAACTGGAAGCCAGTATACTGAGAATTAAACTGGTGTAATGTGCTGTCTTTTTGTTAAGAGCCTTGCAGCAGCAGGTTGGCTGGGGACATCCTCAGTGTCCCCCCAGAAGAGCTGGAGGCATCTGGTTCTCTGTCTAAACTTTGACCTTTGACCCAGGTAACAGAAGGAAGGCAAGAAAGGGCTTTGTGTCCATCAGGTATTTGTCTTGGGCGTCAAGGTTGTCATGTTCAATTAAAACTCAGCTTCAGTTAACTGTGTCCATGCTTACTAACCTAAAACCAAAATGTAATCGTACTTTCAGTAGTTTCAGTCTTTGTAAAGTTGCTGAACCCAAATAAAGCCCGAGGAGCTGTTGCACTTTGCCAGTAAAAACAAAGCAAATCCACAAAATCCAAAGCTAACAGCTCTGTTTGGATAAAGAGGATGGATACTGAAGTGTGGTCACATCTGCAGAGAAAGAACTGCTCAAAAGATCCTGAACTGAACTCTATGGAAAAAGGTAACGGCCAATGAAACTTCCATGAGGGGAAAAAGACTTGAAGTGTAGGGGAAACGTTTTTAGTGGATGGTGGTGTTTGATTTAAACTCAAAACTGTTTTAACAAGTGAATCCAAAGTGGGCGCCACAGCCTCCTGTCTGGGCTGGGAACTCGTTTAAACTAAATCTTAAAATTTCCATTAAACATTTACACTGAAGAAAACATCCATCCCACTGTCTCATTTGAAGTTGAAGTGGTAGCAAGCTCAGGAGGGCACCTGAGACTTTTCTAGACTTCTGTTTCTCCAGCAATGGTTTCCAGCTCTTCCTGAGACGCTCCCAGGATAAATATCAAGTGAATTTCTGATTTCCTCTGGATCTATCGTCACCAATATGGGATTGGAAATCCTCCAAGGGGAGGTGCCGAGGAGGCATGCCGATTGTGTCCTGAACCTCCTCAGATGTAGGAACAGTAGATCTAGGTGGGGCTCCTCACCTCCATCTCTAAACTGCCGCCCATGTGGGCCGATGTGACGACCAGAGGTCGCCGACTGTTGAGTGAAGTTTAGATACAACAGGCCAAGTAGACAATAGTCTTTCCCTGAACTTGTATGTGAGCGATTAAAGAGACTACAGATCCTGAGATCAGCTCCAACACCTGAGCTTTCTGTGTGGCTTCCCCCAACAATCCAAAGACGTTCAGTTATTGGGGGAATCTAAAGAGCCCATAGCTGTGAATGTCAATGGTTCTCTGTGTCAGCTACGTGTCAGGTTGGTGAGCTTTCTGTGGCAGCTGGGATAGGCTCCACCCTCTGATAAGAATAAGTGGAAGAGAACCTCTACTTCCTGTTTCAAATTTCACTGGTCATGGTGTCACCGGGCAGGGACCGAAAATAATCCTTCACAAGTCTTGTGGTTTTTCAGTAGCAGGTGTTTTATACAACGTTCATGTGTGAAACTAGCCTGTGGTTGTGTGAAGGTAACAAATGTTTATGACTGTACATCGAGTTTCATTGTGACTGACGTGTAACTGAAGAAACGTGAACGAACTTCCTTTTTCTTTTTTATCATTTTTAATAAAAGCAGCTGCTAAAATCAGAGTGCTTTGTTTTTGTTTTAAACTATTCTGATCACTTGAAATTTGATCCTTTAGGCGTCTCAGTTTTAACATGACAAAAGTGGAGAGACTGAGTCAGGTTTATTTTCTTTTTCCTTCCTCTACTTCCAGGTGATAAGATGTAGGTCTGAAAAGTGAAGCCGTAGAAGGAGCGCTTCAGTCTGGTGTTCCTTCTAATGGCCGACTGGGTGCGATTCGTGTGGCTGGTTGCTTCCACGTTCTGTGCCCTCAAACGCTTTCCTGACCAGGGCCCTGTTTCAGAAAGCCGGTTTAGTGCAAACTCTAAGTATACCCTGAGTTAACGAAAACTCTGGGTTTTCGGTTTCACAACTGAAGCCTGAGTGAGTCACTATGACGACACACTCCGTGAAGCTAACCTGCCCCCTAGCAGGTTTACTACAACTAACCCTGACTGTCTCCGCCCCTTTGTCGGAAACCTGACAGTAGGAAGTGTCAGACATGGCGTGCCACTTCCTTGAAGAGCCAGATCGTGAAGCCCAAATTCTCCGCAGAGCTCTCCGCCGGGAGAGAGTGATCAGAGCGCGTTTGGACATTTTATCATTTCCTGATGATTTTCTGTGTGAACGTTACCGTTCTTCAGCACAATCTATAATTTATCTGGATAACATCCTCAGGCCTAATATTGCTCATGTGACACATCGTGGACATTCTCTCAGTTCTGTACATATTATTTGTATTGCACTTCGGTTTTTTGCAAACGGGAGCTTTCTGTATAATATTGGTGACGCTGAGCACGTTTCCAAGGCTACCGTCTGTCAGGCAGTCAGGAATGTTACAGTTGCACTGAAACGTCTCCTGCACTCGTCTGTGGTGTTCCCCGGTCATAGACCCACAAGATTTATCAAAGAGGGATTCCACAAAATTGCAGGTATCAGGATGAACCAAACTCAATTCATGATGTGGTGATACTTGAACTACTACTTAAATTTTACATTTATTTTCAGGGTTCCCAGGCGTGATTGGCTGTATAGATGGCACTCACATTCCAATCATTGCTCCTTCAGTAAATGAAGGAGACTATGTGAACAGGAAGTCTTTCCACAGCATTAATGTACAGGTACATAGTTCCCTGTAGCATGTCAAACTAACAAATTATTTCATTATAGTAATGGATGCTAATTTGTGTTCTCTGCACTGTGAAGATCATATGTGATGCTGCCAACATTGTCACAAATGTGGAAGCCAAGTGGCCAGGCTCTGTCCATGACTCACAAATATTCCGTGAATGTACACTGAGCACAAAATTTGGACATGGTGAGTTGAGAATACTTTAAAATATATAAAGACCAATTGCTTCAGGGACATTTGAACTGAAGTGTATCCTTCTGTCTTAGGAGAGTTCACTGGCTACTTGCTTGGTGATAGGGGTATCCATGTTTACCCTATTTGCTTACCCCTTACTCTGACCCTGAACCGGGCCCACAGCAGCGATATAATCTGGCTAATTGCAGGACAAGAGCCAGAGTTGAAATGACTATCGGAATGCTTAAGGCCCGGTTCCAGTGCCTGCAAAGACTCAGGGTCACCCCAGAAAGGGCATGTGACATTATTGTGGCATGTGTGATTCTTCACAACATTGCCACAATTAGAGGAGAACACTGTCCTTCTGAACCAAACAGCAGTGATCCAAACCATGAACATCCTGACCCTCCCACGGACATACAAGATGGAAGAGCAGTCAGAGACACCATATGTCACAATCATTTCTTTTGACCCATCACCTCAACATGTTGAAAGAAGAATAAACAGATTTTTTGTTCAACTGGCTTTATTGGTCACCTGTGTTTCCTGTACACAAAGTATTAAAAGATGTAAACCTCATAAAGTGTCTCTGTTGCTTCCTCCTCTGTAACAGCTGTCAATGTTTCTTCATTATTTTCCTGTAGTAAAGAAATAAACAACATTGCTGTTCTACTGTAAACTCATATAATCTGTGGAGTATTACTCACAACTGCATGTTGGTCTGGCTCAACAGGAGGCTGCACCAGATGCAGTACACCATCACCATCAACTGATAGAATATGAGGTTTATACAGGTCACTTATAACTTACAAGGGACCAAATGGCAATTAACAAACATATACCAATCACCTTACACTTCATTGTCATTATGCTCTCAAAGACAACCAAGACTGAGGGAAGGCAAAATCAGTAGGAAAATAACTTCACTACAAAATAATCCATTATGGTAAAGAGTTTATCAAATGAATGAGTAGCACTGCAAAGGTGACTGTGAAGAAAGGATGTATGCACATCATGTATTATTTTGAATTTACCTCTTATGTAGGCACTTGTGTCTTGCGGGGTTATTGACTCAGAGGATGTCCCCGCAGAGATGCCTTCAGCCACAGGGCGCCCACTGTTTTGGCTGAGGGCCAACTGCTCAGCCTCTGTGAGTGGTGGTGGTGGAGGACCCCCACCTGTTTTTCGGGCCTCCGCTTTTTTTCTGTTGGCTATAACGGGCCACATTTGAGCATACAGAGTAAGCAAATATGTACTTGTAATGTGCTCAGATAATTTCAATAAGTGCTTACAGACAGAAAATTAATGTAGCCTCTAACTGCAATCGATTTACATGGGACAAACAGACCAAGCACTATGGCTCATAATACAATTACACCTTACCTGTTTGGACTATATTTTTATATTTCATTTTTACTTGCTGCCAGGAACGTTTGGGGCCTGTTGGGTTGCACCTGCGCTCACATCACGTCACAAAATAAAATGTATAAAATAAAATAACGTGTTAAATGGGTGGAAATCCCTAGATCAATGTTTAAATTAACACTCACGCATTGACTCTGTCGGCTATGTTTTGCCATGCATGCTCCCTTTCTTTTGCAGCTGTGGCTGTGTTACTTTTTTCCGCGGAATTTGCATGTTATCGGCATATGCTGCCATCAGAATTTCGGCCTCAAGCGCTGTAAAATACATTGACCGCGCCTTCTTTCCCTCCGTCTCCATGGTGACTCGCTTAATCTGTGCTCCACTGATCAGGGCTTTATGTATCCTCGTCCGCGCGCTTCACTTGGGGTTAAAGCAACTCCGCGTTGACTGAACTAATTGTTATCAGCCTTTCTGAAACCGAATATTCCGAGTTGGACAGTTCGGGGTTACTCAACCCTGAGTATCGTTTTTCACTCTGAGTTTTCTAAACCGGCTTCCTGAAATAGGGCCCAGGTTTTGGTTTTCTTAACTAGTTTAAACTTGTACTGAATTCAGCACAATATTATTAGTTTTTTTAATACATTTTGGTCCCATTGAGAGCCAAAAAAGAAAGCACAAAGTTTTGACTATATTAACACTACCTTCACCTTAAGGTAGCAGCTTGTTTGATTAGGATTTCAGGCTCGCTGCATGGTGAAGGTCCAGCCAGTGATACTGAAGAAATTTGAGTTCATTCACCATCGATGTAATCTTTTTTTTTTTTATTAACAAAAACAAAAATCATTAACAAAAACTAAAAAGCCTGAATCACTTTCAGAAGCTGCCAATGGGACCATCACATGATCCCCAAGTTTTGCATGTTTTGCTGAGAAGCTGCAGCTTATGGCCACTTCCTGTTGGAGCCGTTAAAAAGAAAAGAAAAGGTTAGACTGATTTAACCCTTGGGGGGTTAACTTGAGAACCCACGAAAGTTCTCAAATTGATTTAAACTCACACATCAGCCAAATCTAAACGGACAGCATGGATGGGCACGAGTAGATTTGATGAGATCTGTAAAGTTGGAACTTCTGAAATCTGTGGAAGATGATGGATTCCTGCTTGTGGGTTTTATTTCCTGGGCTGTTTCTCTGACAGTTCTCAGGTATTCGGGCTTTGCTTGCAGCTTCAGGTTCAGTCTAAACACATTAAAGCACACAACGGTCAAGACTCAACACTTGCAACTCTTTATGTGCAAAAGGAATCACCCGAGTGACTAGTTTCAGCTGTTGAACAGGTGTTAACTGACTACTCACACCTGACAGCTGACATTTTATGAAACTGAAATCCATGACCATCAATTTAAATCCATTTAAAACAAAATACAGATACAGTTTTTCTTTGTAATATAGTTTAATGGATCATAAACATTCACCTTAGCCGAGACTAAATATAGCTGACAAAATCCCAAATACTGTAAAAGTTCATTCTCAAAGCACAGCGCCATCAACAGGCCAAAGGCTGATTTGCAGACTGAAACACAGCGATCCACACTGTAAGAAATAAGGATTACTTCATCCTTTAAACAGTCATTTCAGAGGCTGATTTCACACTGATTCACATGTATACATTCAGAATTTGTTCCTTTGCTTGAAGTTCAAATTAAATTTGCGTCTTGTTTAAGGTGAAATTTTACAGTTTAACTTCCAGAGACTCAAAGTACGATAAAATACAATAAAAAAAAGATACAATAAGTGCTGTTACAAGCAAGAATTCCACATGTGAAAATAAGTGCAGTCTATAGAAATTACAAAACTATTTACATTAACAGTAACTCCATATTTAGTAGTTCCTCCACACAGAATGTAAAATTTGTCTTTAAATCTATTAAAATTATTTTCCTCCTCAGGATTTTTCTGTCTTTTACTCTAAATTTTATATTTAGAAGAACACCATTAAAAACTTGATCCACTTTGAACTTTGTTTATTTAAAGCTGCACTGACTGATATTTGGCCAACAGGGGGCAGACCCAGAGAAACCATCTCTGGAGTTGCATTTTTAGCTCTGTTTTGGTCTCCTCCACCACCTGGAAAATATAGATTTTTGACCATAAAGCCAAAACTAGGATTTAGAAGAAGCTAAAAAAAAAAAAACTTCACACAGCTGGAAGTTACAACATTAAAATCAAAACCTTTAACATTACAAAGATTTCATTGATCATTTGATTCATGATCTGTTCTTATACAAAAAGTATTAAGCACAGCTTTAAATTCAAAGTTGAGCAGAGCAGTATTAAAAACATCAGTACAACACATTGATTGCTGTTCATTGATTACATGTGGTAATACATCACCTGTAATGTTATCTTTAAACAAATTTGGCACTTGGATTAATTAACAATAATTCCTGATTTATGAAGACAGGGAGAGAGTTAACCACAAAGATTCAGTCACACCAGAGCTGAACACCTTGAAACTTTGGCTCCCTTAGTTGTGCTGGTAGTAATTAGCGATGAACGTTAAGTGCGTGATTAGCTAAAATGGCTAATTAGCTAAAGTTAATAACCTATGGTAGAATAGCTTATTAACTTTATAAACATTACAACTGTCTTTTCTCGAAACTAGCTAGTTTGTCTGTATCTAGTTATAGTTTTATTTACCTTTATCAATTATATAATGTAAATTGTAAAAGAGTGCTGTTAGCTTTAGCATTTCCTGGCTGATAGGAATACTAGCTGTTAGCTAAACGTCTTTTAGGATTCACCGCAGTTATGATGTTAACGTCCCACCAAGTCGAAAATAACTGTTGTAAACGTTATTTCAGGCATCTAAAAAACCTTGAGATTTTGTTGAAAAGTGAAACATGAAAAGATACTAACTAAAAATTTGATGCCAACTTTGCTTTTACTCTTTATCCAGATTTTAGACAAAAGTAAAACAACGTGGGCATTTTGGGGGCTGTTTTTGTTGGGGTTTCTGTGCCTCATCTGGTGTGACCGTTTTAACCCTTCATGCTACAGATGCGATGCCGCGTTCACGTCACATGAGAGGAACGTTGTCAGTGGAAAAGATTCCAGTCTTTATGGCTTGCTAGCATTAGTGAAAAATTCACAGCCAGAGTCTTATTATAGCATTCTAGGTGTAGATCTACACCTTAAATTGGTGTTTAACTACTTTAACCAACAGACTAGATAATAGTCTGATCTCGATAGTTTTCAGGATTAGGTCTGTTTTCCAGTTATAACTAAAACCCAGATGTTCACGTACACGTTAGAATCACATTTCTGTTAATTAATGCAGCTCCCATGTGACCTAACCCAGCATGATGAGGTTTTTTGTTTTCTTTTTTTATCCTAAAGGCTTCAAATGATCTGAACATGAAGAGTTAAACATTTCTCTGCTCCGCTAGTCAGTTTCCACAAACTTTATCACTCAAACATTTCAGCTTCACACCAGAGGAGCTGATCTGTGCTGCCGGAGGACCCAAAGCAGAGATCATCTCCTCCTTCTTCACTCTTGGCGTAGTTTGAGGCCCAAACATGATTCAATTTTTAAAAACTTTATAAGACAAAACATCTCGTAAAGCGCTACAGTACTTGGTTTTCTTACAAAGCTTCTACAGCGAGTATTTTGACTTTAAGAGATCTCTCCCAAATCCACAAACGTTCTCCCAGCTTATTGAGTTTCTTCCATTTTCTGGAATTATTGCTCCTTATAAAGGCAAATTTGCTTTTAAAAATAAGAGCTTTATATGTGTTTGTGTAACCAGGTCATAAATAACATATTTGAACCTTCGACCTGTACGGATTACGTTTGTACCACATTAAAGTCTCCCAAGAATCAGACAAAAACAAACGGAGTGAAAGAAACCACTCAAAGGCAGAATGTTTGAACTTGATCTGCTTTTCTTACCTTTTTGTCTCTATTCAACATATCTGTCAGTGCGTTTCAACAGCATCTCAGGGTTCCCTTTATTATTATCACCATGTGAGCACTGCTGGCTGATTGAAGGCACCTAACAGCTGAAGAGTTTTACCACAAAATGCTGCAGAGAATAACTATCTGAAAATAGCTCTTTAACATTAAATATACACAATTTTCAAGCGTTTACTGCAAATTAAATGTGAGAATTTTCCTTCTGTAACAACCTCACATGGTTTCTAGTGGCCAAGAGATGAGCAAATGCATAATGGACACTACTGTTACCTATTTTCTTTAAAACTGGGAAATAACCCAGATAAAATATATTTGGCCCGGATTCAGGCTAGATCCATCTTAAGTTCTGGACCGGATCCGTGCAACGGACCTGAGCTGGTGTCTTTTAGCACAATGGCCGAATACCGGTATGGATGCATTTTAATGATGTAAGCCAGATCCTGGAAATGAGCCTCTATGCTATGAGGTGGTTCTTGTCCAAGGAAGGTTTGGAAGGCAGCAGATTCAAAGTGCTTCAGGAGGATTCAGGAGTTCTTGTGGAGGTCTGAGCAGGCATCCAAGCACCTTATTGGTTTATAAAAAGCCCAGAAGCCTCAATATTGTTCTCGACATTCTTCATCCAGCTAAAGAAGTTCTAAACCCGGGGTGGGGATCTCCAGGCATCACGGGCCGGAATCCTGCAGGATTTAGATGTGTCCTTGATCCAACACAGCTGATGTAATTGGCTAAATGACCTCCTCAACATGTCTTGAAGTTCTCCAGAGGCCTGCTAATGAACTAATCATTTGATTCAGGTTTGTTGACCCAGGGTGAGATCTGAAACCTGCAGGACACCGGCCCTTGAGGCCTGGAGTTGGACACCCCTGCTCAAAACAGTCCTGAGAAGATTCTTAAAGTAGATGATTGTTAGCTGTTTGAAAGTCCGGTGGAGAATTGAGAGGACCTTCTGGAGGTCTGTTTGCTTTAACGGCCTCTGCTGGTTTCATAAACTCCCATTTAACTGACTGTGATCAATCAGGATGATTTACTGAACACTATGGCCCCGCCCACTGACCTGTCATCAATCGATGTCAGCAAATTAAACCTGATTTTATAGATGTAAGAAAGTATTTTGTACCAGTAAAATTACCAGGAATTCAGTAATCCAGCTTTCACAATAAAATCTGAGCTGAACTTTAATGTAAAAATACTGTGTTTGTGGGTATTTTATTTTGTAGTAAAACTCTTCGTTCTGTTTATTCTGGAGGGAAAAATGGCACTTTTATAGCCTCCAGGGGATTTTTGTGCATTTGGTTTTTATAAAAAGTCACAGCTCTTATTTTTATTTATTTTTTGCCCTTTAACCCTGAAAATGTTTTGCAGACATTAAACGTCTGACGTTTGGTCACTTTGGAACGCTCAAAAAAGCCAAGATCAACTACAAACCAAAGAAAGAAGACACTCCTAAAATACATCGGCTACATTTTGAGTTGATATGAATGTTTTTAGCTTTCTAAGCTGCTAAACTACTAACATGTGCCACTGAGCTCCAACACTTTAATAACAACTTTTTTCAGCTAGAAGACATTTCATGGCTTAAATCTGACTAAAAGCACGAAGCAGCCTCCTGCTCTGCGTGTACATTTCAACGTAAAGATGACACATTTTTAAAAATGTGAATACAAAAACCTCTTTTAAGGAGTGATTTTTGTTTTAAAAGGAGAAATGTTTGCTCTAAAATGTTTTCTGGAGCTCAGATTATTTTGTGCACCTCACATGCAAACATAAAGTGAAATAAAAGTCAGAATCTAACGTTTCTGATGAGTCCCGTCCGACCTTTTCGCCTTCTCCTCCTTCAGGTTCTCCAGACGCATTTCCTCACTCGTTTCTCGACGTGATGTCCTGAAACCGAATCAGTGGCAGCTGTTAAAACTCGTTTGTCTCCTCTGCAGCTCAAATGTGAGAAACCAAGTTTCTGATTTCAGACTCACCTCCGTCTTCGCCCTCCTCCACTCGCCCAGCGGGCCCGACTTTGTCAGGACTGAAAGAAACGAGAGCAGTGACGTGTTAAAATCACCAAAACAAAATCAGATTCGTGCTCTGCTGGCAGATTAAAAGCAGTCAGGAGCTGCAGAGCAAAACTGCACCAGATTTACTTTTATTAGTTCATATTATAATCAACAGGATTCATTGGGTTTATTACAGGACAATGGTGTTTTCAAGACCCCAAAAGTAATAAATGTAACCCAAACTGTAATGATTTACCATAAGCTGGTGTTTATAACCGCTAGTATTAATATCGCTAACAAACTGCATTCATCTCTCTGGATTTTAAACAAGTTGCAGTCGTTTCGGCTTTTTTTGGAAGACAAACTGATCATTTTATGTAATAAAAAAAAAATACAGTTGTAGAGAAATGTAGTCGTCTGTCCTTTGCTTCAGTCTGTGGTTTTGATTTTAAACACTTAAAGCTGGTATTTGGGAAACGAACGAAGGTCTGAAGCTGAAATTACCAGCTTGTCATAAACAAGTTAAATGTGAATATTTGAAGACTTTAAGAGTCTTTATAACCAGTTTAAGTTAAAAGGCCAAACTGGGCCAAACTGGTATCACTCGTGCTCCAACAGCAGTGGTTGAAACAAATAGTGAGCTGCAGGTGACTGCAGTTTTAAAGCAGCATTTAAAAAACAACTTTCTCATTAATTACAAAAAACAGCCCAAGCAGGGAGCTGGAAGTACAGTGGAAACATCCAAGTAAAGTAATGACTCTCCCTGCCAGCAGGGGGAGACAAACGTCTTATTTCTGTTTAAAGGCAGCCTGTAGTGATGAAGAGCGGCTCCATTCACACCAGTGTGATTGTAAAACAGGGATTTGCACTGAGGGCCAAATAAACTTCTGCAAACTGAATAATTCACGGGTCACAGATGGACCTCTGACTGAGTTTCTGTTACCCGAAGACAAAAGATCTTTAATCACTGAACAGAAATGTCTTTGATACTCACGCATACATGTTGTGATCATCATGAAGACGGTCGACGTGACAGTCGCGCTCCACCACAGACACCTGCAAAACAACGGTCTTTGAACACATCGGCACTTCCACACAGAAAGATCACGCCGTTTCTGTAGACGGGACAAAACATGGAGGCAGCTTCAGGTCTGAAACATGAAGCCCGTGTTGAGGCGTCTTAGAGCGTATTCTTTTTAAAGGCCACCAGGGGGCGACACTTACTTAGAAAACTGGGAAAGCATCTCTGTGACGATGTTATAGGCTCAGTCACTAGTTTAAAAAGATGCATCTTATTTTGACACTTTTATTTTCAGAGTGAGTAAGGACGTAAAATGGGATGTTCTCATTGGTTGATGAGTATGCAGTTTCTCAGTGAGACCCGCCCCTCACTCAGAAATAAGAGAAACAAACACGTTTTTAACTTTCATACACTTTTTAGAGCCCTTAATAAATAAATTGTGTTTCTGCCTCTATGATGCATTTAGCTGCTGCAGCTTTCTAAACTAAACTGAGCGGACAGATGAGGCATTTTCAGATCCTCGATCGGCTTCAGGAAGATTTTCTGGGAGACTTAAAGAGATTTTCTTGGTTCATGCTGATCAAACAATCAAAGTGCTCTGAAAAAACTAAATTAGGAACTGAGGTCTCACCCCGAGTACAGAGCTGTGAAGATGAAGACGGTGAAGACGAGAAGGAGGAGGGCCTTCATCGTGAACCCTGAAACAGAAAGAAGAATAACTCGGGTTAGGCGAACAGAGGTCGAGCTTTGTGGTGGAGATCGTGGGTGTTAGTTTTGTGTCTTTGGTGGTTTCTGCAGATAAAAATCATCAAATGTTTTTCATTCAGCATTAAAGTCGAGTGAGATGAATGAAAACGTAGAGATTCAGACTGGATCTGAGCAGGCTGCTACGAGTCTCTGCAGGCCTCTGACGTCAGAGACCCTGCGACTCACCTGTGGGCTCAGGTGACGCCTGACAGCAGCAGGTGTTGGTGTAGAAAGGTGAAGGAGGCGGGACTTCGGAGAGGCTGCCCAGCGACTGGGTGAAACGCTCCTTTGACTGACAGATCTCAGAGCAAATCTCCTTGTGGATCAGGAGATTTGGAGGTGGGGCTTCTTTGTCGGGAGGAGTCGGGACCTCAGTGGAGTCTGAAAGAAAAAACAAAATCATTGTTCATTGTTGTCCATGTTAATTTGAGCGTACTCGCCCTTTAAGCAGTCGGTTACCTACCGTACATGAAGGCGCGGCTCTCCTCCAGCTCAGTGCTGTTGAGCGGCGACCAGGACTCGTCCAGACAGGCCGGACCATCAGGGCTGCTCCTGGACCAGTCCAGGTCATGGTCCTGGTCAACTTCCTGCTTCTGGTTCCAGTTGTTCACTGTCCCGAAAACACCTCTGAAGACTTTCTCATCGAGCCATGACTGGCAGCTCCCCGTCACATCGCTCAGCAGGCGAACCAGCGAGCTGCGAGGTCGCCGCCTGCGCCGGAAAACCCTGAAGGAAAAATGAGTGTTCAGACACGTGTGTGGGTTTGAGGTCCTTTGGCATGTTCAGAGGTTTTTGAACTTTGTTTTTTGTCATTTTGAGGAATTTGTGTCTCTTTGCACAGAAAAGATGAACAAAATGAAATAAAACAACATCAAAGTGAAACAAAGAAATCCAGAAAGAGCTAAAGAACGAGAGCCCCAACAAAAAACCTCAAACCCAACAAAGTGGGTTAAAGTGCAGAAAGTGACCAAAAGCAACTCGAGTGTGAAAACACTTCCTCAGAGAATGACCACAGCCTGACAAAAATAACCACAATGTGATTTGAAACAACAGGAAGTGACCAAATCTGAGCGCAGCGGCCCGCTCTGTCTGACTGCACACCAAGAAATAAACGTCAGGAACAACATTTAATCGAATTTTAAAGTAAAGTAAGACTTTTAGTTGTTATTAAAAGATGAACTCTGCAAACACATCAAGGCTTCACCTGTGAACACAGAGTTCATGTAACAGAACAAAGACGCTTTTCTCATGTTGATGGCAAAGTGTTCAATAACATGGGGTCTCCTAGCAACAGTGATCAATGACATCACACACCCTGGTCCCCGAGAGCAGCTGATGTCAGGTCTGAAGTATTTACAGCTTTCAAACCTACCCGACATGTGCCGAACGGCTCACTCTGATTGGCTGTTGGAGGTGACCTCACCGCTTTAAAGAGGTGCGTGTGTGTTTAACAGCTGTCATACATTTGTACGACCACAAGACGTTATGTTCCTGTTGCTGATGTAAAATAATCCCGAAGGGAGGAAAATGTTATGGAACGAAGGTTTTTCCAAACTTTGTTAAGCGTTTGGTGAATGTCACAAAGCGTTTGGCGTTCGGTTCTCTCAGCTCTGTAATTGCAGCTGATGTCATCGATCATTTTCTCCAAAAAAAACATGTAAAAAGACTTTTTCTCAGTCTTTGGTTAAAAAAAAAGCAATATTAAACTTCTTGTGATGCTGTAAAATGCAGTAAACGCAGGCTGTTAGCTGCATTTCTTGGTATAAACTCTCCTTTGGTTAATAAAATCAAACTAACTCTGAGGCAGAGTTTGAGGTAAACACAGTCCAGACTTTTACAATCCCAAAAAACTGTTGTGACTGTTCATCCATGTGTTTCAATGAAGTTTAACATCCAGGTGTTCACGAAAAAGAAGATTTACGAGTTCAGCCAAGTTCGAGATAGCAGGAAATGAGCTTGCTAGTTTGCATGTAAAGCCACAGCTCTGATTTCACTTTGGAGGTAAATAAAAATAGAAAACCAAACAACAGCGATGTTTGTAGCGTCCGTAAAGTTAGACGAATTGATCCACCATTTTGGCCGTGTGCCAGTTGTGGTAGCAGAGTCGGATCAGTGAATAAAACCTGGTCACACAGGCAGAGAGAGACTGGTCTGCAACCGTTTGGCAACCACGATTCATAAAGAAAAAATCCCCAACCGGTTGTGAGTGGTTGCTGGAGGTTAATGACAGTGGCTGGGAAAATGACTGGTAAAGCCCCAGTAACACAGACTGGTCAGTGACCACCTGGCAACCAACTGTTGTTAGGGAAAACGTGTATTCCCCTACTGGCTTCGGTTGCTAGCATCTTGCTGCGGTTGTAGTTTGAATGAAAGTGACCGACTGTAGTGTTGCATTGTCTGTAAATGCTCTCCAACTACGAGCTGAGCGTTGGCAAAACTTCAAGAAGTGTGACACAAACAGGAAATTGAGATAGTTCGCTTTCAAAATAAAAGTCACAACTTTTACTTGTGCATAAACGTGGAACGAGCGAGCTCACTGAAACGAAGTTTTTTCTGCATCCAGATCTCAGGTAAAAACAGTCTAAATAAATGGGAGCCTCCGGGTCTACCTGCCGCTCTCACCTGTGCAGGTTCTCCTTGTAGGAGACGCTGGTTTTGCAGGGCGTCAGTGACACGTTGCCCTCGTCGTCCCAGGAGAAGCTGTCCTCGGTCACGTCATAGTATCCGTTGGTGAGGAGGCGTGGCGAGCGGCGGCAGCAGCAGGGCTCGCTGCCGTGCACTGAGGTGTAGCAGATGTAGGAGGAGTCGGGAGAGAGCAGAGACACGTCGAGGCTGCAGGAGAGAGACCAGCAAAGGCTTTTCAAACTCCTCCTGAGACTTCACACGTTCATCAGAAACAGGAAATAAACGATGCTTTTACCTCTGACAGTGACTGTTCCTCAACCTTCGCTTGACTGGAGAGCCTGAGCGGCAGAAAAGACCATCAGAGATACACACACACACACACACACACACACACACACACACACACACACACACACACACACACACAGTGGTTTCTAAATACAGACGACTTTTATCAGCATGAAGAGGCACAGAACATTCTTGGGTAAATCTGCTCAGAGGACTTGATGAAGATAAAAGCTGGGCAGGAATGTGACAGACGGGCAGCAAAGTGCTCCACAGAGCTCGTCTGAGGAGCTAACATCAGATCTGTGGAGCCGCTAAAAGCTTTAGTTTGGTTTCCGATCGTTTTTCACATCCATAACAGTTTGAACAGTTCGAATAGGCAAAAACAAAATTTGCTACAATGTCGTAATAAAGTCCCAGAATAAAAGTAAAGTGTTGGTGAACGTGGTCGGTGATGTCGGTGACGTACTTGTGACGGCGCCGGAGAAGAACAGAGCCATGTTTGTCTGCAGAGCGGCGTCCGAGGATCTGTGAAGCGCATGAGAAACCAAACAGCTGTCGGTGAGAAACAGGCAGATGTTGTTCTAACAAATCTTTTCAATGAAAGGCCAAAACCAGCAGAGAGAGCGCCTCTCCAACCCTCCTGACCTCAGACACGACCGGTCTCACACTGAACGCCGTCAGCTGACAGCTGCTCTTTCAGCGAGACACTCTTATTATTTTTATTGTGATTTAGTGAATTTATTCTGGTTTTTACTCTAAGGAGACACTTTGTGTTATTTAAGCTTTTTACATCACGTTTTATTGGATCTTATTAAAATCTATACTTATTTTAACATTTATCAGATTTTTTACTTTCTTTTTAAACTTCATATTATTACATTAACTTTCCCTTTTTTGTATTTATGCAAAACATATATATACTTACTTATTTTATGATATATGTTACAATATTATTCACTATTTACTTTTTTTTTACTTTTATTGATTTAAAAAATTATAGGGATTTTACTTGTATTAAAATTTGAACATAATGAGCTCATTCACTTTATTAGATTTAACAGGAAACTGTTGTGATTCAGGGCTTTATAAATAAAACTGAATTGAATTATTGCACCTTTCTTCGTGTAATCTTTATTGAACTTCTATTTTACTGTATTTGTCTGAGCTACTCTAGCTTGTGTCTATTGTTTTTACAGGAATTTCCAAACTTTTGGGATAAAAAAAGCACATTTGATCTTTCCTCTGTCTCTATTTAAAGTTCCTGTTGTTGGGGTCTATTTTCAGCGGTGGATTAATCTGCACTCGGTGGTGTAGTGAGTATTTCTAGCAGCAGGATTTTGTGCGTGTGTGAGAGTCTGAGTAAACCACAGAGTGTGTGTTCATAAAGGAAGTTGTTGTTGTGTATCTGAGCTGGAGCTCACAGACATTTCTCAGACTTTTACACCCAGCTTTTATTAGTCGACTCATTTTTTGCTGGTTTGACTCCCAACGAGAAGAAAAATCTAGAAAATCCAAAAGAAATCTTGTTTTTCTTTCTGTGACTTCAGCTCTTTAAAAATCCTCCTTCCTGTCTGATCTGCTCCTCAGCAAAGCTTCACTCAGTTCAGCTGAATCTCTGCAGTCTGAGCACTCGAGGGATTAACTGGAGCTAATCTGAGCTCATCTAATCCAGACTGATCAGGATATTTATAACAGGCTCTGTTTTTGGGTCTTACCTTTAAAGTTGCTCTTTGTTCTCTGCTGCGCTTCTCTCACATCCTGCAGAGACGCAGCCTGAGAGCAGACTGTAGAAAGAAAAACAGATGCTGTGACTCTGAGCTCACGCTTCCTGTTAACCCTTCATCAGCTGACCGACACACACGCACACGTGCACACACACAAACAGGAAACGACTTTGTATAAACTATTGTCTCTGTACGAGAGACACAGTCGTTAGACAAAGAGCCGGTGAGTGTGATGGTTTGTTAACAGGAAGCTCTGAGGGACGAAGGCTTCTGCACAAACTGAAGCACATCATCACATTTGGATCCCACATCGTGTTTCATGGATAACGAGCCTTCGTGGCAGGATGAGAAAAGAACACAACAAGAGGCCGAGGACGAAGGCCCGGGGGATCTGATGAAGAGGAGTCATCAGCAGGCTGAGTGATTTGAACACACAGACTGTTAGAGGGCAGTGAACAGAGGCGCTCTGTGTCACAGCGAATAGATGAGGAGGAGGAGGAGCCTGGGGCTCGCCTTTCTCTGCTCCTCCTCAAGATTCAAAAGAAAACCAGTCTGGCGTCCGGTTAACGTCCACTCAGCAGCGAGACTCAATGATGAAGGTTCAGCCCTCCAAAAACAAAACAAGAGAAGGAAGCGGCGTGAGCTCGGAGGGACGAAGAAACACTCTTCATCTGCTACACGTCAGCGCAAACATCCGAAAGATTTCTGAAGTTTTTAATCTTTTTTCTGTAAACCTGCAGATTATAATCTGAAGAGTTTATCACAGGGGTGTCAAACTCTTCTCAGTCCATGATGCTAGCAACCACATACAGCACAGCTGAGCACCTGTAAACCAATAAAAACAGGCCCCTCTGAACTGTTTAAACGGATTTAAAATGCGTCCATCCATCCCTGAAACTGAGGAGGAAAAATATGTTTTTTAAAAATTTTACTCTGTTTTTTTCTGGGTTCGGTCAGTGTGATGTCACAAAGAGATTTTTCATCTGTGGCGCCTTCGTGGCTCTTTAAGCGGTGCACATTGAGTAAAACAATAACCTGATGCTGGTTCAGCCTCTGAAGGATTTTAAACGTTCCTCCTGCGCAGCTCTTGCACAGCTGCAAAGCTGCGAGTGGGCCGGGCTGCAGGCTCTAGTGGGCCTGCCGTGGGCCTCGGACTCTATGTTTATCCTCTGGACAGCAGCGTTTACATTTTATTATTTCTGCTGTTTACGACTTCCGCCTGAGAGGAACAAAAACAGTGAAATAAAAGATTTTTCCTGTTCTGGGAAAAAGTAAAAAGGACTTTTTCCCCATGAGGCTTCAGTACAAACCGAGATAAAGACAGACTGTTTATGTCAAACTACACGATCCGATCTGGAAATATCTGGGAATAATGATTTGTGTTACGATCGATCCCTCTGGGTTTGTGTCAGGAAGGACAAAACGCTGCCAGATCAAACATGCTGCTGTGGCGAGCCGCGTGAGTAAAGGAGCATCTTTGATTTTCACGTCGTCCTTCCTGCTCTGCTGAGTTTAGACGGAGAAAACAAACATGGATGCAAGTTTGTTTAAACAGAACAAGTCGAAAAGAAATAATTATGTTTATTTCAGTTTATGTTGACTGAAAACAGCAGAGGAGGAGAGGTTTGGACTACAGTCTGAACTCCTGCACCTCTGAACTCTTTCTGGGATTTCTGTGTGATCAGAAAACTGCCTGCTGGCAACTTTTCGCTGAAAACGCAGATGTTTATTGAACTGCTTTCATCGTTTTTTAAGAACCAGAGAGATTTTTAATGAAAGAACATTTGATGGTTGCAGCTTTTCAGATGTGACTGTTTGTTTCTTTTCTTCTTTTTCACTTTGGAGTTTCAACTGTTTTCAACCAGGACAGTTATGAGTACATTCACTAAAAAAGATGATTTGAATCTCTACATCTGACTTCTGTGAACGTTTTTCCTTCTTTTGTTTGATTTGACGTCGTATTTTGTGTTTCTGATATTTTCCTGTCGCTGCAGCAGCAGGTTGGTCTCTCCTGTAAAAGTGCTTCTGATGCATCATTTAAAATAATAATATATAATATTTACTTCATGGTGATCTAATAAAAGTAAATATTAACATTAGAGGCAGGAATAACTCAGTAAGTAGAGTGGTGTCCCGATGATCGGAGGGCGGAGTTTCGATTCCCCTGAGGTACCCCTGAGCAAGTGCCCACTGCTTCACTAAGTGAGTGGGTTAAATGCAGAGAGGAATTTCCCCACGGGGATCAATAAAGTATACAAAAAAAGGCTTCGGCTGTTATGTGGATGTTCGTATAGCTTCCTGTTTCTGTATTGAGACTAAAGATAATCTAAATTATTTAATAATAACTGAATCCCCCCTCTGTGCCCCCTTTATGGATTCTTCCCATCCCGTGTTTCCCAGCATGCCTTGCAGCAGCAGGCTGGTCTGTGCTGGAGCTGCTGATGTTGGAGGAAAACGCGTCAAAAACGGAGGAAACCATTTTCCACCTTCAGACACTCAGACTTCTTCAATTTGCTGTTTCAGCTCTAAAATCACTTTTCATGTAAATCTGAGGATTTTTGTTTAGTTTCGTTAATAATGAGGAACAATAATGAGCTCGAGCTTCATTGTTGAGTATTTCTGTGTCATTTTCCTGTAACACACTAACTTTGAGCTGTTCGGTTATTATTTTTTCACGCTTTGCTGGTTTAAAATGATCCGAATTCTTCAGAATATCCTGTAAACACTTTGATCTCCGCGTTTTTCCCACGTGATGCACCTCTGATCGTTCCTGAAATATCCCCACTATAAAATATCTGTGGTGTAATTTTACTCTGATACACATAATACTGAAACAACCCGGAATTACAGTTTTTATTATCGTGTAAATAAACAGAAATAATAAAAGAAGCTTTATAAACATAAACAAGTTTATTTTTATTTATTTTTATTTTAGGATGAAGTTAAAGTTTGCATAAATATCCAGCCCGTTAAAAAACGGCTGTTTGAGTTTGTTTGTGTGTTTTAAGTTGGATCAGCAGCAGAAAAACAGACAAAGAGAAACTAACGGGACTGCAGCTCAACTCACCGATCACTTTTCCTCCTTTTTTTGTCCGGAAGTGCAGAAAAATCTTCTTCCGGACGCTGAACCTTTTTCGTTTTTCCTTTTCGTATTTTTTCTTCTAGACTTTCGCTTTGAAATCTTCACATTTCGTCTCCAGGAGGATAAAAACAAGTCTCCAGCTCGCAGCTGTCACTCTGCCTCGCCCACATGCAGGAAGCAGCCGCTGCTGTCAAATTAAAACACGTATGGTTTTCAAAGTAAAAGCACCAAGCGAGACAAAAATATTTAAACTACGCAAAACTGATAATTACTGAATAAAACATATATTCGTGCAGGTTTTTTTCTTTATGTCCACGCAGATCTCTGTGTAGAAGCCAGCTGCTTTAGCGTCTAACCTTTCAGACAACTTTCTTCTGATTGGCTACCCTCACAAAAACAGTCGGTGGGGCTTCTGTGTGCCTGACATGACCATACGAGGATTCTTCCCTCTCCCTGAAATTACGCAGGTCTACAAGTTAAAAAAAGGTTTGTGTGTTTGAGTTTGCAGTCTGAGCTTTGGGCTCATTATTTGACACATCGGTCATGTTTGATAAAACATCCACAAACAGGAGATCCGGGACAGTGTGCAGTTGGTTTCTAATCTTCAGCCTCATTTAGAGACAAACACATGTGAAGAGATAATCGCAGAGTTTAGTTCAATATAAATAAAAGGTTTCCTGAACTTACATTTATTATTCAGTAAATGTTCCAGCTTTCATCAGGAAACATTTAAAGTATTCTAACGTGAAGGTGTTTTATGTTGAAGGTCCAAAACACAACTTCCTGTTTATCCTTAATCAGCCGCTGCTGATGAAATAAAATTCCCTGGAGTCAAAATGGTTGATTTTCTGTTTTTTAAGGTTTTATTTTGTGTTTACAACATTTAGTAGAAAAATAAAAACTATAATAACCAAAGATTCAATTATGCTTCGATTATTATACTTTTAAAAGTTCAATAACAAGTCTTTATCTGCAACTCTGGCGCCATCTGGTGGTCAATCTGATTAATGGATTTGAATCATTGAGCTTAACAGAGAAATTCTTTAAGTTTATAAAAATCCCTCAAAGACATAAAAACATCCATTACAGGAAATGGAAAAATATGTTGGTTATAAATAGATGTGACGACATTTTTCGGTTTCCTGAGCCTCTCAGGTCCTTTTAGAGGAGTCGGACCTCGCCGGGTTTTTCGGGTCTAGGCTGCTGCGCTAGGCGAACAGCCCAGCGGCGGGCTCGGGGATGTTGGTGGCGTGCATGTCTCGCGTCATGTTGGACTTCTCCTTGAGTTTGGCCTGAAGCAGCGTGTGCTCCACCACGCCGATCCGCACGTCCATCTGAATGATCTCCTGCTTCAGCTTCGTCAGGCTCTGCTTGATTTTCACCACCGGAGCTGCAAAAGCAGAAGAAGAAGCGGAGAGGTCAGCACTGCGGCAGGGCCGGAGTCAAAACCGAGCACTGTGACCAGATTTACCTCACCTCCGTCAGACATGCTGCTGCCTTTCTCCTCCATCTCCTGTTTCACCTTCTCCAGCTCCTCGCTGATCTGAAACAAACAGAAGAATTTCAAATTAAAACACAAGAACAATTCTCACATATAAAGGTTCAAATAATCTCTAATAATAAGTAATAGTTATTATTATTAAATAAACTGAGGACAGTGAAATCTAATGTTTTATTATTATCAGCTTGCTTTTTTCACCTGCTGCTGTTAAAATGATTTTATTGATGAATTAAACGTGGTGCGTTCACTGACCTCGGCCAGCACTCTGGTTCTCTCCGTCACTCCTCCGCTGGCCTGCTGGTAGCGCTCTCTGGCCTGGAGGATGACAGGAGTTACTGAACTGACTGTTTCCACACATTCTGACATTGAGACAGTTTCAAACTGGAATTAACGTGAACTCAAACGTGTTGCGATGACGTGAACGAATCAGGAACGTTCAGCTCCGGGTTTACCTTGCTGAGTTTGGCCTGGGCGCTGCGGTACTCCTGGATCAGATGCTCCAGCTGGTTGTTGATGTACTTCTCTCTGCTGCTCACCTTCTCCAGCGTCTTCCCGATGTCCTCCTGCAGCTTGTCCAGGTGACTCTGCAGAGACGACGAAGAATGATGTCACGTTTAGTTTCACTCCATGAACTTATTTTGTTTTCATCTTTCTCCAGAACTGAAACAGTCCTCAGGACGTTTGTCTCTGTGGTTAATGGGAGATTCGCTGAACATGGAAACATCTGTTCCTTCTTCTTGTGTGATTTAGTTTATTTAATTAAAGCTGGCTGATTGATAATATTCTTTACATGTGACTGAAATAAAATAATACTTCTTGTTTGTCCCATCCGATGACAGTGAGAGGCTGCAGGGAGGACATAACATGATGATGAAGCGGGTCAGTGAACGCACCTTGGCCTCCTTGAGTGAGGACTGGATCCCGTCTCTGTGCTGGTGCATCTGGTCCACGTGGACCCTCCAGTCCTGCAGGACCAACACAGACCAGAGAGTGAGAGCCACTAACACTGACAGCCAACCAGAGAGCATGCTGGGAAACTGCAGGTAACCTTCAAAGCCTTCAGTCACTCATACAGAAACAAAAGCTTGTTACGATCACACTGGACGAGTGTGAAGCTCCGGCAGAGTGAAGCGTCTTTCACTTCATCTCACATCTGGCGGAAGCTCCGACACCTCAGGTGAGCGCCTACCTTGTTGTCGGTCCTGATGGTGACTTTGAGTTGCGGCAGGACTCGCTCCACCTCCAGGTTCCACTCTGTCGCGTCGACCGTCGACTCCAGGATCTCGTCGGGTTTGGAGGACGTCTCAGCTTCCTGCCAGAAAACAGACGCCGCGGCGAGTTCAAAGCTCGGAGCGAACGTGAAAGTGGAAATTATGATGTAATCTTATTCTGAGGTGATCTCACAGTGTGAGTGCTTCGTAACTTCAGAGCCTCCAGGTCCATCACGTTCTCCTCCTCCTCGTCCCCTTCGTCCTGGTCACACACAAAACAATCATGAGATGTGAAGACGATTCATGGCTCGACCCGCGCAGCGCTGAGCATTAAAAACACCCAAAATACGGTCATGACAATATATTCGATTATGATTTCTGCTCTAAAGTGTGATGGACTTTATAAAACGAGGGAAATATTTTGTAATAAAATACATGAAATTATGTTTTTAAAATAAAAGTGTGAGGATGTTTTACTTTGAAATCTGTTCCCTGATTTCCTCTCAGTGTTTGGTGATCTCTGACAGAGGTGCAGGAAACCACCGCAGTAAAAACAGATTCATCCTGTAAGTGTGCCGAATGGAAAAGAAGAGGAAGTTAGACGAATGCAGAACACCTACGATCAGCTCCTCCTCCACTTTCCTGAGCGTGAGCTCGGCGTCGTCCTCCACCACAGACTCTTCTTCTGTGTTTTCTGATGGGTAGTTTGTCCTGAAACAGAGACAGAAAGAAGTAAAAAAAACTTCTATAAACACAGAAGCAACAAAAGCAGCCTGACGAAAAGAAGAAAACAGACGGCATACTTCCTGAAGGTGAAGCCTCTCTTCCTGAGCGCCTCCTCAGCCAGTCGGTCCAGCACGAAGCAGACGTACTCGCCTGAGCCAGACTTCAGTTTGGAGGGCGGGAAGTCCACCTTAACACCCTGAAAAACAGAGGAGGAATTAAAAAAGCGTCAAACTCTTCTTGTTTAACGGAAGCTCCCGCCTTCGCACAATCGGTCAGATTTATCAAAGCACAAACAAACGAACTCCAGACATACCAAAGCTCATTTCCAGCTTCTAAACTTTTTCTGTGTGACTCACAAAGGCCCGCAGTTCTGCCAGGATGTTGGACACGGTGGCGTTGGGTTCGTCGTACTCCTGCGGCTCGGTAAACGGCCTCCCCGCCACATTGATGAGCCACGCTGCGATGATGGTGAACATGTAGAACTGCTCGCCAGGGTTAGACGCCAGGTATGGACTGGAGACGAAGTAATGCCTGCACGGAGAAAGCAGAGGGGACTGAAGGGTTTTCCTTCACTGTGCACACTCAAAAACATCAAATCAGCACAAACACTGGAAACAAGCCTGGATTTCATTTTATTTTTATGCAATACTTTGTCTGGGTTGATCGATCAATCAACAGAAAATAACAGAATAAAGATCAAGAACTGAAACGCTGCATTGTCCCAACAAATGTATTAATAGCAGAAGAGCACTCGTATCCTCCATCTTCTTGCTTCAGTCGCTCAGAAGTGAGGGTTGTAGGCGGCTCTCTCTCCACCACAACGGTCCAGTACAATGCCAAGGCCACACAAACCCTCAACATCATACTTGAACTCCATCACTCTCCTCCAACCAGAGGGATGAATGAACAACACAATCACGTATCTTTAGGACGTGTCTGTTTTTATCTCATTATATTTTTTTAAACGTATGACTAGTTACTACTAGTTACACACTTCGATTGTTTTTTTCTGCTTCTAAATCCTAAAAAGGACACCGTACTTACATCCGAACTATGCGCTTCTTACCTGGACAGGTTCTTCATGTTGTGTTTGCCCAGAACCTCCTCCTCATAGTTGAGTGCATTCAGCTTCTCCAGCAGGCTCTCCATCACTGCGACCCCCCGGTAAGCCGCTCCGGGCCCTCGGTCCTCCTCGTCGCCGCGTCTGCCGTCCTCAGCCATCCTGCAAGTTTCACGTTTGCGTGGAAAATGTAAAAACCTAGCACCTTTAACAGATTGGCACTGCTAACCTGCTAGCGGTGTTTGTTTGGCTTCTGTTGTTAGGCAACCGAAAGCTAACCAGCTAAGCGGCTAGCTGACGTTAGCAGATAGCGACTTCGTCATAACATTTTAAACACTGGTTTAAACTCAGTCATTGGTCACATTTCTTTTATAAGCTGTATCAATATCCACAGTTTGGAGAAAAGGTGTACAAAATGAGTCTGAATCCTCTCAGTGCCGCGTTAGATGCTGCCGTTAGATTAGCTCCCTTCTTTGTGTCGGCTAGAAAACATCGCAACAGCGACCTCCGCAGGCTGGAGTGTGAGCTTAAAAACGGAATTTCCAATATCCAAAGATTAAAAGCTCCCCCTAAACTGAATACACACACAACCTGGTGCCAAACACATTTTGCTTTTTCAAAACCACCTCTATAAATTCTCTATAGGCTCCTCTTGTTCATGTATATCTTTCATCTGT